CTAGGCGTTTCTGTGACAGTCCAAAATTTCCCCAGTTTTTTTTTTTTTTTTTTAGACGTTAGGGTATAGATTTAGTCAAATCTGTCCTCCCCATATTAGACCTGTTTGGTGATTACTAAAAAGCGAAATTGCACACCCTAATGCCTCGGCCCTACCAGCCCCCTCCCCCTTAGTGTCCTAGGCTCGGTTATAACCGGAACAAGGACGTTAAGCTAAAAAAAAAAAAAAAAATACTGGAGGCTGGAAGTTCTGAAGACACACAGAGTGTACAGCCAAAATAATAAGGTAAGCATTGGCTGCATACTGTTAACAGAAGCTCCTGCATAAGGGGTTGCCGGAATAAGGCTACTCGGGTAACAGTGTACGTGTGGTTGGTGCCAGTAAGTTGACGAGTCAGGTACGCCAGAAGCTCCTGGATAAGGAGTTGCCTGCAAAGGCTGCTCTGGTACGTCTGACTGCTGATACAAAAACTGACACCTTACCTTTGTACTTTGTAACAGCAGGACACTGGCAGGCGACGTCGGAGCTGTACGGTGGTCAGCTCGGCGACGTACCTGTAGTAGTGACAGTGTTGTGGTGCTGGCAGGCTGTTGAGTGTTGTTGTGTGTTGTAGCCTTGTGGTGTGAGCTACGTCCAGGCGACGGTGTAGGGAGAATAGGGGTACTGTCCATCCTATTGTAGTGTATATTGATATATTGTTTGTGTTATTTTGTTCAACTGTTCGGCCAGGTAGCCGAGGTATCCCGATCGCCTCTGGAGCAGGTAGCTCCGTATAAACTGAGAGCCCGGCGTGCACGCACGCTACCATAAGGGTGCACGTTACATTTTAATGGTGGCAGCGGTGGGATCATAGTTGAACGTAGCTGTATTTGTTGTATGTATTAATTTGCAATGGATGATATAAACAAGACCATTGAGGAGCTGGAGGCCCGTATCGCGTCCTATGGTGTGGGGCAGAGACCAGGAGGTGGTCCAGCCAGGCATTCGACTCCGAAGTGTACTAGCACAGTGACCTTAGACGAGGAGAACATAGCTGACTCCGGAATAGTGACTGTGCGCAGTTCAGATGTTGATTCCGGTGCTGGTTTGGGGCAGACGTCGAGGGATGCTGACCTACGTACTAAGTTTGTACAGTTTACCCCGCATACACCAGACAAGGAGAGATACAGAAATAATACTGGCGATAGGTTGTTGCAGGAGCAACCAGGTCCCTTGTCTGATTACTACAGAAGTACCAGTATGATGACAGTACATCCCAACCTCGCAGCAAGCGCCCGGATACAGACGACACAAAGACCAGGCGTATACCAACATTTAATATCAAGCCTGCAACCTACGACGGCAGTGGTTCCTGGTTGGATTACAAGGCGCATTTTGAATCATGTGCTGCGCTGGCTAACTGGACCGTGGATGAGAAGGGTTTGTACCTAGCAGTTTCCCTCAGGGGCCAGGCACAAGGAGTGCTCGGTAACCTTCCGGGGGGGGGGGGGCACTAAAAAAATATAAGGACCTGGTATGTGTTCTCAGTGAACGGTTTGCTCCACCAAACCAGACCGAACTCTATCGTGCTCAGTTAAGAGAAAAACGACAAAAGGCAACCGAGTCACTACCAGAGCTGGGGCAAAGCATAAGGAGGTTAGCAAACCAAGCGTACCCGACTGCACCGTCCTATGTCATAGAGGTGCTTGCAAAAGAGCAGTTCATTGACGCCTTGATAGACTCGGACATGAGATTGCGGATTAAACAAGCCAGGCCAGCTAGTCTCAATGAAGCTATACGCCAGGCCTTTGAATTAGAGGCCTTCATTAAGTCAGACCTGAAGCACAGGGAGTCGCAAGGATTCTTAAGGCCTATAGCACAGGAGGAGGCTAATGCCCAAGAGACTGACCAAGGAATAAAAGCTTTGACTGAAGCTATGAGCGAGATACAAGAATCCCTGGCCGGTTTAAAAACTTAAGTAGCGGACTTGGAGTCTAGACACCGCAATTGGATGCCGGCATCTAAATTCTGCAACAGAGGTACCGGCGGTAAATGTTTTAACTGTGGTGAAAAGGGTCATTTTCAGAGGAATTGCCCAGAAGAGAGAAAGGATAACCAGCAAGGTAATAAAAAAGAAAGAGCCAACTCCGCGACAAAGAAAGAACAAGCTGGCGTGAATAGACAAGCTGGAGAGCAGGGAATCTATGTCAATGTGGAGATTCAGGGAGTAAAAGGAAACTTTCTAGTGGACACGGGAGCGACTGTGTCGCTCGTATCTGACTATGTGTTTAAAGCAATATGCAGTAGAGATGAGTACCAGCACCCCTTGACAAAAGTGTCCCGCGACATCTTGTCAGCGAATGGAGAACCACTGGCAGTAAGTGGCCATACAGTTTTACCATTATTACTTGATAACCACTTGTACATGAAGGGACTGGTGGTAGCCAAACTATCAGTTGATGGAGTCCTTGGGTTGGATTTTATGAAAGATGAAGTGTGTTGTCGATGTAACAAAACAGAAACTTACAATTGGACAGCAGGAGGTTGAGTTGCTAAGTATGGGGAATATAGGATGTTATCGTGTGGCTGTTGCCAATACTCTTAGCATTCCCCCGCAATCTGAGATGGTTACATATGGACAGGTAATTCTTCCTCCTGGTACAGCTGTGCCCAACGGTGTTAGCATTATCGAACCTGCACTGACATTTCTGGACTCTGATCGAGCTTTGATAGGAAAGACTTTGGTCAGTAATAGTGCAACAGTCCCTGTGCGGATTATGAATGTATCCCCAGATGTAAAGGTGGTGCATGCAGGGACGGTTGTTGGGTCTCTCACACCGATAGACAGTGTTATGACGTGTGAACCAAGCAGCAAAGAGAAAGACATTTTAACTCCGGCACTTCAAGATCTGTTAGACAGGACCAGTAAAGGGCTTAGCAGAAATCAAGTGAAGCAAGTACGCGCACTGCTAGTTCGACATTCCAATGCCTTTGCAAAGGATAATCAAGACATTGGAAAGACCAGTGTTGTGAAACATTCCATCAGCGTTGGTGAGCATCCACCGATAAAACAACCCCTTCGTAAGCTCCCGGTGCATACAACACAGAGAGTAGACGAGCATATTGATGATATGTTGGACAGGGGGATAATCGAGCCTTTAACTAGTCCTTGGTCGTCTGGTGTCGTCCTCGTAAAGAAGAAAGATGGGAGTACCAGATTTTGTGTGGACTACCGGCGCCTCAATGACGCAACCATCAAAGACGTTTACCCTTTGCCCAGAATTGACGAATCATTTGATCAGCTCTCTGGGGCATGCTGGTTCTCTAACCTTGATTTGTGCTCTGGATATTGGCAAGTCGAGCTGGAGGTGGAAGATAAACCAAAAACTGCTTTCGGTCTTTGCAACGCCCCGGCAACTTTCGAAAGGCTGATGGAAACCGTGTTGCGGGGACTGCAGTGGGACATCTGCCTCATATACCTTGACGATGTGATTGTCACTGAAAGAACTTTTGAAGAAATGTTAAGCAATTTGGGAAAGGTACTGGAAAAAGTGTACGCTGTGTGCCAGAAAAGTTGAGTTCCTTGGGCATATAATTTCGCCTGAGGGGGTTTCCACAGACCCTGGCAAGATACAACTAGTGAAGGATTGGCCAGAACCAACGACTAACTGAGGTCCGATCTTTTCTCGGACTGAGTGGCTATTATTCGTCAAGGACTTCTCTGCCATTGCAAAACCACTGCATCGGCTCACCGAAAAACACAAACGTTTTATATGGACTAAAGAGTGCCAGGAAGCCTTTGATTGTCTCAAAGCAAGGCTATGCCAGTCCCCGATATTAGCTTACCCGGACTTCACTAAACCTTTTGTACTTGACACCGATGCAAGTGACCTGGCTATAGGAGGTGTACTTGCCCAGGTCCAGGATGGACACGAAAGAGTTATTGCATACGCTGGTCGGACACAGTCAAAGTCAGAAAGGAAATACTGTGTTATAAGAAAAGAGTTGCTGGTCGTTGTCTTTGTCAAGTAGTTTCGCCATTACTTGTATGGGAAACATTTCCTTCTTCGTACAGACCACAGTTCCCTGCGTTGGCTCCTAAACTTCAAGAACCCAGAGGGCCAACTTGCAAAATGGTTGGAAGTTCTGAGTATGTATGACATGAAAATCGAACATCGGCCAAGATCTCAGCACTAAAATGCAGACGCGCTTAGTAGACGACATTGTCAGAAGTGCAAGTTCGATCCTGAATGGGATTAGGTATCGAAGCTGTCTGTTGGTGGCTCGACAGAGACAGGGTCTGGCAAACAAGAAGAGGACGACAGGCAGAAAGATGAAACCGGAGAAAAATCTTTGTCAGTTCTCCAGCAAGAAGATCCAGATATTATGCTAATTAAGCAGTGGACAGAGGGCACTACCAAGCCAAACACTACAGACGTGCACATGGGCGGTACCATTGTGAAGTCCCTGTGGTCACAACGGGATATGTTGATAGTCCAGGATGACGTGCTGTATCGCAAATGGCAAGACTCTAAAGGCACCGCGTTGCAAGCGGTTGTACCGATGGCTGAGCGCAGGAGCATATTGATATGTGTCATGATCATCGGACTTCTGGTCATCTGGGAGTGAAGAAGACCTTGAGCAAGGTAAGACAAAGCTTCTACTGGCCTGGTCTACAGAGAGATGTGAGACAGTATATAGCAGGCTGTGAAGTGTGCTCAAAGAAAAAGGGACCGATGAAAACTCCGAAAGCGCTTATGCAGGTCGTTGGTGCCGGTATGCCTATGGAAAGGATAGCAACCGACATACTTGGAGATTTGCCAGTGACTAGCAAGGGGAATCGTTATGTACTAGTAGTGTCTGACTATTTTACTAAATGGACTGAGGCATTTCCAATGCCGGACATGACTGCGAAGACCGTGGCTGATATTATTGTTAGGGAGATCGTCACCAAGTTTGGCGTGCCAACGGTGATCCACTCGGATCAAGGAAAACAGTTTGAAGGACAACTCTTCTAACAGATGTGCGAGGTATTGCACATTAAAAAGACTCGAACCACTCCCTACCATCCAGAAGGAGATGGTATGGATAAGAGGTTCAATCGAACGCTGATTTCCATGCTGGCTTCCTATGTCAATGACCACCACACAGACTGGGATGACCATCTACCATTTGTTACTATGGCATATCGATCTGTAGTTCACGAAACTACTGGCAGCAGCCCGAATGCCCTTATGCTTGACAGGGAAGTATCAACGCCACTGGGCATTATGTATGAGATGCCCACAAGCGCAAAGAAAATTCCAACACACCAGTGGGCTTGGGAATTAAAGGAAAAAATGGAGACAGCCCATGTTCATGTCAGGAAACATACAAATGCAGAAATGCTGCGGCAAAAGATCTGGCACGACCGAAAGCTCAGCTGGCAAACCTTCTCGGCTGGGGATCAAGTCTATGTTTACTTCCCGAGGTATCTACCAGGCCATTTTCCAAAACTTACAAGTTATTGGAGAAGACCATATGAGGTAGTGAGCAGATGTTCAGATGTCACCTACAAGGTACTGTGTGGGGCTCGCGGTGCACCCCAAATAGTTCATGTAGATCGCATGCAACTGAAGAAAAGACAACAGCTAACAGGCGAGTCAACATTGGACACAGAACCGATAAAATATACCTCAGAACATAAAAAGGGTGAGGTTAGAGGCAGAGTTGGGCAAGGTCCCGAAACCGTTGGGGACGGGATCAAATCCAGTCCCACTGGGGATGACAGTGAAAGCGCCGAGAGGAGTGAGGGCGAATGTGAAAGCCCGTTCCCGTCTCGACGTACGAGACGGCCACCACGCTGGCTGGCCGAGTATGCTACTGATTTTGATTAATTAGAGTACTGATAATATTCTTGTATTCCTGATTTTGTTACTTGGTCACAATATTCATACATCCTTTGAATCCTTCCATCCCTTCTTATATGTTGTAGAGATGGTGAAGACAAAGACCACTCCAAGGAAGGAACAGCGATGTCCCATGTGTACATTCACTTGTGTGGATATTGAAAGGATGAAGGAGCAAATTGTCAGGTGTGGTTTGAAGGAAATGGAGAAGAAATCCTTCGTATGTGAAGAATGCTCCTTTGCTACCACCTCAGCAAGCAATCTTCTCCGGCACACAAGGAGAAGGCACAGTGCAGAACATACGGCACAGCCAGGACTCTCACACGAAGGAGGCAACCTGTCGACTGAAAGAGAGGATGAAGAGTCGTGGAAAGACAATGACCCTGGTGATCTTGCTAGCATCCTAGGTGATGTGTCGGACTCTGACAATGGAGAAGACAATAATGATTCTGCTGGCGTGGAACCTGATGTAGAGGCCATTCCCGATCCTACTGTGAGGAAGCTTACACGGCCAGATAAAGTGTTCACCTTTAAACGGGCGCCAGAGAAACTGAGTCCCAAGGATCCCAGGAATCGTATCCCACAGAAACTCCCAAGGGTAGAGAGGCCTCCTACTAATCTCCATCAAATTCCTAAGGTGTTAAAAGCAGTGGCGAGTGTGTCTACTCAGACAAAACCTGTTGTACAGAATCATGTGGTCTGGAAAACGACAAGGTACACCGAGGGAGATAAGGAAATCGGACTGGTGGAAATGCAGGAGACGGAGACCTTCTGTGGTGTCTGCGGTGCTACAAAACTGGACAATTAAATAAGTGTAGGCGGAAGTGTTTGTGTCCTTTGGACCTACTGAAAGTTTTACGTTTATTAAATGTGAAAGACTGTTGTTGTTACAATGTGTTTTGCATAAGTTTGTAAATATTGTATTTGTCATGCGGGACGCATTGACTTAAGGAGGGGGAAATGTGATGATTTTATTCAGTTTGAGTTGTCTCCCTTCATGTAATATACCTAATTAACGTAATTAACAATGATTGACTAATTTGTAAAGGAAACTGGTGTTTTCTATATATGTAATCATACTTTATAAATGAATAAATATATACGTCTTACGTATTTTGGGTTATGAGATAGTTTTTGGTGCTTTGTTAATCTGCAAAATAATGACACCCAGAATATTACACCAAATTTTGTATAAAGGCTGATTGAAACCAGTACTGGAGGCTGGAAGTTCTGAAGACACACAGAGTGTACAGCGAAAATAATAAGGTAAGCATTGGCTGCATACTGTTACCAGAATCTCCTGCGTAAGGGGTTGTCTGAATAAGGCTACTCGGGTAACAGTGTACGTGTGGTTGGTGCCAGTAAGTTGACGAGTCAGGTACGCCAGAAGCTCCTGGATAAGGAGTCGCCTGCAAAGGCTGCTCTGGTACGTCTGACTGCTGATACAAAAACTGACACCTTACCTTAGTACTTTGTAACAGCAGGACACTGGCAGGCGACGTCGGAGCTGTACGGTGGTCAGCTCGGCGACGTACCTGTAGTAGTGACAGTGTCGTGGTAATGGCAGGCTGTTGAGTGTTATGGTGTGTTGTAGCCTTGTGGTGTGATCTACGTCCAGGCGACGGTGTAGGGAGGACATGGGCACTGTCCATCCTATTGTAGTGTATATTGATATATTGTTTGTGTTATTTTGTTCAACTGTTCGGCCAGGTAGCCGAGGTATCCCGATCGCCTCTGGAGCAGGTAGCTCCGTATAAATTGAGAGCCCGGCGTGCACGCACGCTACCATAAGGGTGCACGTTACATAGGCAAAGTTCTTAGAAAGAGAATTACGTTGGACCCGTGTTGGATTGTCCGCCTCTATGATAGCGGGTGACGGGTCACCTCGTTCGTCACGGTCATGCTCCCGGGTACCGTTAAGTTCCTGAGTGAGATGCGATTCATCTGTCCTGTATCGGTGTCGGGTAGGCCAGTGTTACCTGTCTGACAGGCACTGGGGCTCTCAAGGGGGGCACATGTTACTTTATCACTTGCCTTTCAATTCGATTTCGAGATCCCATTATCGACAGTTGTTAGCTGAGTTAACTGAGAGCTTAGATAAGACAATATCGCGTCATTAATGCGGTAGTCAAACTCTCCAACATTTTTAAATACGCACGAGACCTGACGTTGGAACGCGTCGTATTTGGCTGATTTTGACCTTGTTTCCGCAACATGGGATACTAACGCTGAGCGCAGTGTGTCATTTTCCTCTTTTAGATATTTCAGTTCTTGGGATAACTTCTGTTCGTTCTTCCTGCGACCGTCTACCAATTTTTCAAGGGACACTAACCTTTCGAGGGCCACATGTGTATTGCTGGTTACCTCTACGAGTTTGAGTGAGGACGTTTTACTTACTGGGGGACAGGCAGGGGTTTCGATACTAACAGTACGCAAAAAACATCATCAATGTCCGTATTATCACCCTGTATAAACAGTTGTAGAATGTGACAGTCTTTAGCGTATTTCCAGGCACTACTATTCTAAGTAGTGTTTTTCCCTGATCGTAAGTCTCCCTTGGGACACCCCTCAATTATCCTTGCCCTGCCAGCTGATATGGACCTGTACCAAGTAATGGTGTCATTACTATTGTGCGAAAGTTCCAGTAATTTGACAATGTATTCAGTTCTTGTGATGTTCGTTAGTTCCCCATCAACGTTTACTATATGACTCTGTCCATCAAGAATGACAGTTTCCTGAGATTCACACTGAGACAGATTCAAGTCACAAGTTATATCACGGTCGGACTCAGGGTCCAGGCTTTGGTCATAAGATGACACAACAGATTTGTGAGAAATAGACAAATCGACACTTCCAATAACATCATCAGTGATACATGCAAACTCACCGGCTCCCGGCAACTCAACTGGTGTGAGAGTTGTGTACGTCTTCGGACTTGTATTGAGTTTACAGCTAGGCTAATGCCGTCACTTATATCCGCCATACTGGTTATCTCGCAATGCAAGAAGTAATTGCATAACCAGGTTATACATTTTCTGATTTGATCAACAGTTATTGACACTTTCCCCAAACTGGTAATGTAATGCCCAGTTCACTCATTTATTCATAAATGATCATTATTGATAATCAAAAGTTAGCTTCGGAAGAGTGTTGTAGAGATAATTACAAGGATCGTTTAGATGCCTCTAAAACGGTATTATCATCGTCTGACCATGCGATTTCTTGAAATACATGTAACTCTGCGGGAGCCTTTAAAAATGGCAATTTTACCGCTTCTCATTTTTTTTCTAAAATTTTCACGGTTTACTCTTCAGAAAATGAGCCAAATAATTTGATAAAAATAGTTGATGCACTAAAAACAGAAAAAAAGTAGTTTTTTTCATGCAAGAAAACTTGTTTTTTAACTGAGAAACTGTTGAAAATGTCATTTTCCTAGTTCGAGATTGTTAATTATTATTTCATTAAATATGTTTATATTAATTTTTGTCAGAAACATGTAACATAATATTATATAATATATACTTATTCAAAAATGACATTCTATGACTATATACACCATTTTTTAAACATTTTTTGAGAAAATACTGACCCCAAATCCCAACAAAATTGACTAAAATTGAAACAGTAATCGTTTGACTTTTAAATGGCAGCTTTACGGCTTCTCGATTTTCCTGAAATTTTCACCGAATGCTTTGATATAATGTATAAAAATTTTGGTGCGCTCCTTTAGTAAATATTAACCGCAATTTGACACAAAAGTCAAAATCAGCATGTGTCTGCACCGATTAGATGACTGGGGTGGGGGTTAGGGACACAAGCTGTAGAAATCTCAACAATATCAGGCCTGAATCCATTTTGGCACGGTATCCCACCGAACCTACTACTGCACTGTCAATGTATCGAACGAAGGGAGATAACTCTAATACTTTCGGCGCATGATTGTTGATGGTGCAATCGCAACAGAAGGCGGTCCATCCAGGAGTGCAATTAGCTGTTTCTGTTGTTATAGAAATGTTGCATCACTAAAATGTTTGGCGTATATGTACCAACAACTAGACAGGGCATTATAAATTGAACAGACTTGGACATCTTTGCAAGGGACTACGTTTAGATGGTGTACGTTTGTACAGGTATGTCTTTGCTGTTGTGATGAAAACAAACGCGGAAAGCAAAGTAGGCGTACGTATGTGATTTTAGTCGATCTGTAGAGTGTCAGAAAATTCTTCAAGGATAGTCTGAATCGTTTACCATTGACCGCGGGAGAGTATATTCCTGATACAGTACTGTAAATCCAACTGAAATGGCCGATTCCGATCCCGATCCAAAGTATTTTCCGAATTAGGCTAATCTGTTTTGTGATTCTGTCTTGGGACTCATTTATATCGGACGTTCAACAATGCCCCTCGTCCAAACGAGTCCCAAGAAGGAATCCCAAAAGGGATTGTTTCCGAATATGATTATTTTTGCTTTTGTCACAGACAAAGCACAAGTTTATACTCGTTTAGTGACCTAGCATGTATACTATATTTTTTTGTTTTAGAAATATATCACAGGGATATGATAACACACACACACGCAACCCCCCCCACCCCAACAGGGATATGGTAATGCACAGTCCGAAGGATTATGACTTTGTATCTGTGATTTTATTATTGTCCTCTTGTCCTCGGCAAAAACAAAATAAAATCGTGGATAGATAAAACATCAGTGTTAGTCATGACAAGAACGCTATAGACAAGATAACACCCTCTCCTTTTGTATAACCACAAGGGACCTAGACATATCTAACAGTAGCAGATTGGTATGGCTTGTATATAGTGTTAAATACGGTCTCTGTCACTCATTTGATGGAACATCTTTTTTTGACTCGGTTGGTAAAGTCAGTTGATTATCACCCCAGAGACCCTGGTTTGATTCCTGGTTTGGGCACTTGACAGGAATGTATACTCTCCCAGTTCATTTACATATGTTGGACAATTTAATCTAGTTTGTTGAAGATTTTAGTACTGTCTGTATATACAAGTTGGAATTTTTTCCTAATTTCATTACAGAAAATCTACTCTTTGTAAGTAAACAATGGGTACATAGCAAGTTGGTGTTCACAAGTTTACTTTATTTTCATATGTTGCTGGCAAGTGTAGATCCAGGACAGATGATCATAGCTTATTGAATTTAGAATCATTGTTTATGATAATTTACATGTAAATGCTTACTGATATGGTGTCTTTTGAAAGATGAATATATTTTTTAACCATTATTTTTACACAGTCATTCTTTCTGTCTTCGTATCATGTTCAAGATCACATAGTTTAAAATGCATATTTTCAATTGATTTTAAAAAACTTCTGTAAAATATAAACCCTGAGCAATGATATTGTCACAACCTAGTAATTGGCATGCACAATGTTATAAACAAAGTGTAGACAAAGCTTTTTGGTTTAAGGGAATAAGGTATCCTGTTGGACCGCTCAAACACCATGGACATAATTGTGCATTTATATTAACACTTTGCAGGATTGTGCAGTATAGTGTAACGAAATGGATGAGGAAGAGGGGCTGGATGTGCTGATAGCCCAGAGAAGCCAGCGACCATCTTATGCTCGTATGATATCTTGGGAGTTTGATGATGCAGAGGAACCAATGGTGGTGTCGATGCAAAGACGACGAAGAAGGAGGTCAAAACAGCAATCAGGGGAGACAAATGAGCACACAGCTGACCTTGACCCTGAATTGAGGTCAGGGGTATCAAGTCTGTCACTGAAGAGTGATTCAGATGAGGAATTCTTTTCAGCAGAAGAATGGTTAATTTCAGATTCCGAGTCGGTTACAGAAAATAGTATTGTATCTGAGAGAAGTGATGGAGTGCAGGAATTGACAGGGGCAGAATGTGAAAGTGATGAAAACTCAGTATTTTCAGATGAAAACACTAGTTTGACTACCAGTTCTTCAAATATTAGATCTTCTAGACTTAGCAAAAAACAAAAGAAAAAACGTCGAAAAGAAATGAGTACAATGTACGAAAATCAGATACGGCCATTTATGGATTTAGAATTTGATGATATCGAACACATACTGCCTGACCAACCTTCTGTTGATAGAATGTTGGACTTATCCAAAGATGTTCCATCACTGGTTCAATTGTGTATCAGATCATCTTACAAATTAAACTTCAAATTGATGCCTGAACTTCCGAACAAATTAAAAAGACTTTTCCATGTAGATGATGATTTCTCTTTACAAAAAATACAGTTGTCGTGGTTGCATTCAACATTAGCCCGTTTTGAACCCAAAGAGAAATTTACAGAAAACTGTATGTTCAAAATGAACCCTGATAGACCCGTATTATTGCACCCTGTCAGAAATGTTTGTAACAAGACGTCCAGTGTGAACCATACTGATCATACTGTACTGGCCACACTACCGCTAACAAGTATTGACTGGACTGACCCAAACTTGGAACAAAGGAGAGCGATCAGCACTTGGGCAGGTAAACATTGAACAGAAAATCTGAAGTAAAAAGGCAACATATGTAAGGAATTAGTTTTTTTTTTACAAACAATTAACATGCATTTTTGAGTTACAGTAATAGAGATCAGTTTTGTTCTTTATAAAACAAGTGGATCTTCAAGAATGATACCAAAATGAGACTATGATACAAGAATATATAATAGGCATTGTAGGTGTACTTACATGATGTATAATATATATATACAGAGTAAATATAAGCATGGAGGTAGGGACAGGCCAAAAGGAATGATTAATATCATAATTTTGTTTTCTTTGCCTAATATTTGATTTTATTGTTTCCAAAACAGTGAATTAGTTCAGCTCCTATGGGGAGCCCTGTGTATATAAATAAAATCCTGCTGTTATTAATTCTTGAAGCATAGTTAGTATATAATTCAATAACAAGTTGTCAAGTGTATGTTATTCAGTTTATGTATCTGACAACTATCAACTTATTTCAATGTTGAAATGGATAAAGGTTTAATTGACTTCTTTATTGATAGTGGTGGCTGCCACCTTGGAGCTGATGATGCCTCCATTTTTATCTGCCAGTGCCTACAGACACCAATCAGAGAGTGAAGATGACCGCATTGTTAGAGCTACAAGGAGTTTGATGACCAGATTGAAATTTGCTATGAAGAGCAGGTACGCAATATGATGTACACATGCACCAAAAAAATACTGATTTTTGAGTTTTTAGTCCTAGTTTTGAACTAGGGACCCTAGCTGAGGCATAGGCTGACGGAGGTGGGAGTGTGTGTTGTGTATCAAATTAGGCCACTCTGACCTTTATTTTGACCTTTGACCTACATCATTGAACAAGATTTTCTGTGTGCTATTTCCTTCACTACTTTTCACTAGAACTTTATACTGGGAGCATGGGTTTACTGAGGTGAGGTGATGTATATGTGTCGTGAACCAGACATAGGTCATTTGACCTACATTTTGACCTTCAACCTTAAGTAGGAACGTGGGTTACCTTTGATTCAAATTAGTGATATTGCCTCTTTGCCACTATGATGTAACTTAAATGATTTAGTGTCTGTATCACCAGCTAAATTAGTGATATTAGTGGAAGATAAGGTGTCATCATGTGTAGTTAAACAGTAAAATACCACCTCTTCCTGATTTACACCCAGCACATTCATTTGTAAGGCTGACAATATTGACATTACTGAATACACTAGATTTGGTCAATATTTATTGTCTAGAATTCTGTACAAATTTATCACATTTGCATGCTTAGCATTTCACATTTGCAGAGAAACTCTAATAATGAGCTTTTTTTATCCACTGGTTATTTTTTTTTAGGAAAACACAGAAGTTTCAGCCTTTCAGAAATCTTGTCATGTGATATCAAGTTCTTGTAACACACATTGATTGATAATGTGATGCAACAGTTTATCACAAATGATAGTGTAACTTTGGTAAAAACCAGCTGCAATATACCGCTCGGCTAGAGAGAACTTCTCTGTAGCTTGATGGGTTGAGCATTAGACTAGTAAGCCAGAGGTCCAGGGTTCGAATCCTAGCAGAGACATTGAAATAAATAATGACCTCTGTTAGCAAAGTACACATTTCTTTGTCAGATGATTTTTGGTAAATAATTGATAAAAGCTTGCAGAGAAGATGTTGACCTTACTCTTGATATTAATTAGTGTTTTAATTTTTGTGATTGTATAAAACAGTTTGAGACAGGTAGATAGCTAGTTATAATCACATAGATATTGCCTGGTGGATGATTTCATATTTTGGAGTTGTGATGTTGTATTGTGTGTTTTTATTGTCAGATTTCCCACTGTAGTGTCGCACTGTTTTGATGATGCTGTGCCGTATGCTTTGTGGGCTAGGGGAGACATCCATCAGGCTACTGAGTACTTCAAGTCACTTTCACAGAGTACAGATAATAGTGAGTATCAATGACACATTTTGATTCTGGATATTAGAGAAAGAAATAATTAGTAATTCAATGTGTCTACGTGATCTAAAATGAATGTCTTTTTTTCAATATTTATAAAATGCTTTAGAACACGAAATCATAACACAGGTGTATGTTAATATGTTTGCCTTCTTACAGAAGCCTTAAAAGCTGTTTACCATAATGAAGTGGGCCATATGCATGCCATGATTGGGGCCACAGAAACAGCAGCAAAATTCTACAGATTGTCCTCTGATATTTTACTGAAGGACGTCAAAAACAGTCTCTGTGCAGACAATATTACCACTAATATGTTGTTGCTGGTTGCTAACCTCTATGACCAGGGGTAAGTATTTGATGAGGTCACTATGGTCATCAAAAATACTCCTAATATTCCTAATATTTTCAGTACTTAGTTTGGTGTTTTTGGTGAGTGCCCTCTTTCAAAAAACTGGATGATTATTAACATAATTAGTTAAAATGTAGTAAGTCAGTGTTTTACACAAGTCACCCTTAGCTATAATGCTGTTTTCCTGGTGTTGGTGTCAATGTCAACGTCAGCATCCTGTCCAAAAACTGAATTTTTTGCAAACTTTCAAATTCATATGTATATATCCCCACATTTGGCTACTAGAAGTCTAAGATTGGTATTATAGCAACAAAATGCAGATTTTTGGGCTTATTTATTTCTTTTGCGAAATTTATCAGCTTTTGGACTGAACAGTTTTGACATCAACCTATTTAAAGTTTTTGGATGTCTGTATAAGTGCATAACTGTACCTCCAACACCCCTCCTATTTGGCACACTCATTTCATTTACATTCCAGGAGCGATCATGATGTTACAGAATTTTCATGTTCAACTGTTGTATGAACAATATTTTTGTTTTATAACTTTGGAAAGTAAAAATTAAAAAAAAAACATTTTTGCTAAGCTGGGTTCATTTGAAAATTTTAACACGAAGAGAAAAAATGTCCTTATTTTTATGTTGCTGTACCTTTTTAGAGTTTACAATGCATAACATACACATAAAAAATCAATGTGTTTCTATCTCTCTCTTTGGTATTATCCTGTTTCATATTGTCTCCCCTTGAAATGCCAGAGGGTACAAATTACATTTAAAGTTTTTGTGTTGCAATAAGTGTATTATGAATTTGTGTAGTTGCGATTAGCTGAATGTTTCTTTTGTCATAACTTCATGACTTGATGTCACAAAAGAAAAAGACGTATAGTAAGAATATCACTGATATAAATTGTCTACTGCAGTCTTATAAAATGCCATTGGTACAAATATGTTGATATGTTATCTAAGAGTCTAAGTTCAGTTATCTTACATTTGTTTTGTATAAAGCCAGAAGTTGTGAAAATAAAAATGGGAAGACTTCTTTCATAAACTTCATATGAAAGAAATCCCAAGATAGATTCTCTATATGTCTAACGCTGTCAATATTCTGATGGCAATCAAAGTTCAAATGTCATGCCCTTCAATTCTAGGTCAAAGGTCATAGAAGTTATTCCTTTGAGTTAATGCAGCCTGAAAACCTAACAGATGTCATTTTGTTTTTCTAAACATTCGTGCAATGTTGATAAATTTATGTCACAATCTTTCTCCGATAAGGATCTTTACACCTCAGAAAGGAAAACAATCAGCCCATGCTTGGAACGTTGTATTGACCAGTAAGTACAGTCAAAAGGTCGAAGGTCTGGAGCGACACATCATGGATTCTTACCTTTGCACACACTGTGGATCAGTTCAGGGTAAATTCATTTTTTTCTTTTCCAATCTTTTGCTGAATTTTTTTTAACCTCTTCAAATTCACAAAAATAAAATGTTTAGAGCATTATTGCTGCTGGATGTTTCGTAGTGTGTAATTATATTCAAAGTGGTTTGTATCCTCGGTTATGTAGTAGCATAAAATAAACAAAAACACATTTACATTTAGATGATCCAGCATGTTAATTGTGTCTGAGCCAGAGTCTGTACAATTAAGCTTTTTACATGTAACAGTCAATAAATATACAAATTGCTTTCAGTAATTCAAATATACACTATAAGTTAGTTAATATGGTATGTCTTGTTTACAACTTACTATGATTAAACAAATTACTGTAAAATTACTGTAAATATATAGATACAAACTGTATTTGCTTCTCGGAATATTTCAGCATTTATCCAATTTTAACAGATTCGAAGGATGAATTTTGCAAAATCACTTTTTTTTGAATAGATATATAAAACAAACAAAATCTGAAACCATAATTGTATACGGAATTTCCATTTTCATCTTGCAATAAGCCTATGCCATGTAATAAGCCCATCTAGTAGAATTGATGTATGCAACAAGCACTATTTCAGTGTCTTTGATAAGCCCACTGATTCTAGTAATAATGTGTTGGCATTCATCCAACAGTAATCCCTTTTAATAAGCCTACAGTAGCATTTCCAACAAACATTTGAATGTCATGTAATAAGCCCACTCCCAGACATTGAGTAAGTGGAAATATGCTTATTGCAGAATATATATACACCAAGATGCTAGAACATATTGATAATCACTAAAGTGTTGGTGTTTTATGGTGGAGAGGTTTGATTATGAATACACTACTGATATTAAATTTACCTTCCTAGTTCCTCTGGTTAGCCAATAGCATGTGTACATTGGTCGTCTAATTTCAGGAATAGAATGGTTGGAGCAGGCCAAATCCATGCTGACTGATCTTTCGACCTCTGACCCTGAACTTGTATACTACCTCAGTATGGTCCATGCCTTATTAGGGGAGGAAAAACAGGCACACACTGTCTACATGGAATATGTCAAAATGTATTTATATCACATAAATCTTAGAAACCATTTCTGTGTACATGTATTGTGTAATTGGATATTTTTGTGGTGAGGTAATTTTTGAGGGTTTAATGAGTGACCTCAAAAATATAAATAAAATAATTGAGTCATTGGTCCGCTAATTGTATGTTTTTATATTCACGGAGTTTTTAAATTTAACAATGAAATTTCCAATGTTTGAACGATAGAAATGATATAAAAATATACATCAATTAGGCTGTTTCTTGTAAGACTTTGAGTTTCATTACATGTGGGAATTTCTGTCTTATTTCTATTTACATGTGGGAATTTCTGTCTTATTTCTATTTACATGTGGGAATTTCTGTCTTATCTCTATTTACATGTGGGAATTTCTGTCTTATCGCTATTTACCTGTGGGAATTTCTGTCTTATCTCTATTTACATGTGGGAATTTCTGTCTTATCTCTATTTACCTTGGGAATTTCTGTCTTATTTCTATTTACCTGTGGGAATTTCTGTCTTATCTCTATTTACATGTGGGAATTTCTGTCTTATCTCTATTTACCTGTGGGAATTTCTGTCTGATTTCTATTTACCTTGGGAATTTCTGTCTTATTTCTATTTACCTGTGGGAATTTCTGTCTTATCTCTATTTACATGTGGGAATTTCTGTCTTATCTCTATTTACATGTGGAAATTTCTGTCTTATCTCTATTTACATGTGGGAATTTCTGTCTTATCTCTATTTACATGTGGAAATTTCTGTCTTATCTCTATTTACATGTGGGAATTTCTGTCTTATCTCTATTTACATGTGAAAATTTCTGTCTTATCTCTATTTACATGTGGGAATTTCTGTCTTATCGCTATTTACATGTGGAAATTTCTGTCTTATCTCTATTTACATGTGGGAATTTCTGTCTTATCTATTTACATGTGGAATTTTCTGTCTTAACTCTGATTGAAAAATTTAAGGTTGGGAGAAAACTCTTTTGAAGCTGCTGGTAGAGAGATTGTGTCCCTCAGTGGAAAAGGGGCCAAATGTAACCCCTGGAAACCTTTGGTTACCATGGTGAAAGAACTTGATAATAACGTCAACTTCTTGCCTGTGATATGGAGAGTTCAGCTTGGACATCTAAAAATTTCTACTGGGTAAGTTACCACTCCTCTATCACAAGGACGTTAAATGTATCAAACCTTTTCACCCTGTAGATCACAAGGACGTTATAAGTATCAAACCCTTTCACCCCGTAGATCACAAGGACGTTATAAGTATCAAACCTTTTCACCCTGTAGATCACAAGGACGTTATAAGTATCAAACCTTTTCACCCCGTAGATCACAAGGACATTATAAGTATCAAACCTTTTCACCCCGTAGATCACAAGGACGTTAAATGTATCAAACCTTTTCACCCCGTAGATCACAAGGACGTTATAAGTATCAAACCCTTTCACCCTGTAGATAACAAGGGTGTTATAAGTATCAAACCTTTTCACCCTGTAGATCACAAGGACGTTACAAGTATCAAACCTTTTCACCCCGTAGATCACAAGGACGTTATAAGTATCAAACCTTTTCATCCCATAGATCTCAAGGATTTAAATAGATGTGTGAGAGAAAATGAACAGATACTTAAAGAAGAGACAAAAAGGAAAGAAAATGAAGGATCAGAAGTTTGGTTTACTGTTGCTTTATTTCCTACTAAGAGCATGAAGTGTCATTTAAGGAAGTCCAGTGCCAGGTTTTGGGTGGTGGAGGAAAGCTGGAGTTCCCTCTAAAAAACTCCTGACCTGCGGTCATTGCCTGGTGACTGTCCCAGGTCCAGAATGTGGGACATCGAGGTGGAGGGTTAATGATAAAGGTGGTCAGACACCTTCCCATTCATCCAGGACATATTGTTCTTCTGTGCACTAATTAAGCACAAAATAGAGTACTTTCCCTCCCCTAACGTAAAGTGGTTTCCGTCTTGACCTTGATTTCATTCCATGTCATGACTTAACCCTGAGGTATTTTTATACGCAAAATATCACTTACCAAAGGTAACCACTAGAAGACCCGAATATGCACCCATTCATTGGTTAAATCCAAATTGACATACCATACAAACAAGGAATGTATATGATTTTATGTTGATATTTTAAATATAGATCAATTTACTCCTTGCCATGATTTAAATATGGATATAGTGCCATATTTCATTATAAGTATTCCTAATGTCTTTATTTCTGTATACTATACAACAAGATGAATCACATAAATGTCCCTGAATTATTTTTTCTTCAATTTTTGGTTCGTGTGTTTTCATATTTATTTCATAGATCGGTCTTATATGTATCTTAAGTAGGTACACTTGATTAGTGACTGTGGAGCAGAACAAGGGCAGAAAACTCACATTGTCTTTATCAAATGTAAAAATATTTTGTTTCTAAGTCTTTTAAAAGGACATTTCTTTCCGATATTTACAGGAAAGGCTTAGAGAGTGATATTTGCAGTAAAACACTTGACCTGCATTTTGATAACAATGGGTATTTGACTGGAAATATGCAGATGTATCTGCCTCCTATCCGAGGGATACAAATCAACCCTTATACAGGGTAAGTTAACATTGTCTTTATCATGCCCCAACAAAGGGTAATAAAGGGCCACATGTGGCCCTAAATGGTTAGTATATGGCAAACGTAACCTTTTCTTGGGGCAAGTAAGGGTAACAATAGGACCCTAAAAGGGCCATAAAAATGAATGCTCACACTTGGATCTTAATGGTTAGTAAGGACATGCTCAAGCTCCTCCCCCCATCCTACACACCAGGTAAACAAGGTTGCACTAAATATCCAAACAAAAAGTATAGAAGGTAATACTTTGGCATTACATAGGACAAGAAAACAAAAAGTATAGAAGGTAATACTTTGGCATTACACAGGACAAGAAAACAAAAAGTATAGAAGGTAATACTTTGGCATTACACAGGACAAGAAAGCAAAAAGTATAGAAGGTAATACTTTGGCATTACACAGGACAAGAAAACAAAAAAAACGGAAAAGAAAGGAAAAGATCCAAGTTTTAAAGAACAAAAAAAACCAAACAATGGTTTTGCCCTGATCTCTTGATATGTGGAAGAATGAATCTTAACTGAAATGATTGATCTCAGTGTTGTTGTCAGAATAGAGCAATAGTCAAAGGTAAAACATATGATTAAGGAAACATAGAAGGCTGCAGTCTGATGTAATTAAGATGGAGTTACCATTGTCTTCATGTTGTTTCAGTGCCTTGCATTTCAACCAGCACAAAAGTCCAACAAAGGTACTAACAACATGGGATTGTAACAGTGATCAGAAGTATATCACAGCAGGTGTGTATTGAATCTCCATGTCTACTGGCTAATTTGAGCTATTTTTTATCTCACCTGCTCCAGAGGACTATTAAACTAATGATATGGCACAGTATCTGTCGACTGTCTGTCAACTTTTTCTACCAAATGGTAAGAAGCATGAACGATTGAACAGATTTTGACCGAAGAAGCATTCAGGGAAGGGGACTTTAGCAAATTGTTTAAAGGGTTAAGTGGCATTGCCTTATAAGGTAGATAAATGTTATTTTTGAAATCCATCTTTTTGGTTTAGGATAATCAATTTTATGAAAGTCATTGGTCTGTAGAGAGGCCCTTTGTTGCAAATGGAGGTAAGGGTTTCAACTATACTTTTTCTATTTTGATGAAGGTATTTTTTTTTAAAATCAGTTTGGAGCTGTAAAATTCCTCATCATTTTTTGGAAAAATATAACATGATGTTTGTAAGTAAAATACAGGCCTTACGGGCCTGTTTTTCTATTTGAAAAAATCCATTTGAACTTGAGGCCTTTGGCTATAATGGTGTCCAGTTAGATGTATGACTTACTGATCACAAGACATGGCCTGTGATAAGATTTCATGAATATTATCATAAGTACTTTTAAAGTATGATAGCATCTTGAATATAAATATTTATAGCTTTTGTAGTTTTGTTCTTTTCTATCCTTCTTTCTTATCTTTGTTTATTGTAACTGCTGTGAGAATACACTGCATCTGTTGCAAAAAGAAGCAGCAGAAATGGCCTCCAAATCTTTGAGAATTTCACAAAATTTAGCTATTGAATTTTCAGAAATGGTAATCCTTCATTCACTCCAAAACAAAATTATCTAGATATTGTTGAACCTGTTCAAATTACATGAAATTGCTGTTGTGAATATAAATCAGAGTTTGACCTATCACAGTTGAAATAGCCCAAAATCATGACAAAGTGTTGAACAGTGTACTAGCAAGGCATGAAACTACTGAAAGATAAAGGCATTTTCTGAAAAAAAATCTGTTGGTCATGATATGACTATGACTGTCAAGGTTACTGTACTGTAGTACATATTAACTGGCTGTTGAGAAATCATTTTTTTATTTTGTTTGTCATCACGTTGGATATCATGATGAAGAAACCATGTTAAATGTAGCCATTAAGAAGGATGTGTGATGTCTGCTTGTGTATTGATTGGAGTTTGTGTAGATGAATGACTATGTGGAGTGTGGTTGGAGACTTAATGTGACTACATATTAATGTTTGTTAAAATCTCTATGACTCGTACAATTCTTGGGATAATCTTCACATAAGTATCTTATATTTGAGAGTACACATGCCGACATCTGTACTCTATGCACCTAACGCTTGTAATACAGAATCGGGGTCTCAGATTATGCTGACTGGCCTGAGCAGAGTTTTACAAAAAGATGTGAAAGAAATCACATTAAATCAATGCTAATTAAGTGACATGTATGTGTATAATTTGTGTTATCTATTGCTAATACCACAGCCATTTACCGCTAGCTACCCACAGAATCATGTGAATAGTGACCACATATAAAGCCATTATTGGGATGCCAATATCTTTATCAATAGTTATGTGCATTCTCATGATAACTTTTAACATTTCAAATTGTAAATGAAACAAGACTTGAAAGGGTTCGAGCTATCTTTACTGTAACTATGTTTAATGTTTATGTTGAAAAAATCATGTGTACAATCTTACCCACATATTCTAACTGACTGGAGATTTGCCTCAACTATTACATTATTTTCAGATAACTGTTTTATATCTAATGTAAAGCATTCATTGCCAATTGACTTAATTTAACTGAGATCTTATTTCTAGTATTTTGTGATTTATCTCTGTAGAAAAATTGAAAGCAAAATTTGATTTTATTGCCTTTGGTAAGGTATTTAAAACACAACTACAGTTGGAAAATTGATTCATTTATATAAGTTTTGATAGATTGGAGTGTCAGGATCACTTCTACAATTATAATTATATATGGTTATTGAAACAGAAAATATTTAAAACTTGAATTCACAAGCATTGAATATACTATATAGGTACATTTGTGATACCAACACTGCTGGAGATATATAACAAAGATGGCGTCAAAGTACACATCATGCTCGGACGAAAAGCAGGAAATTTGAATAATATCAACAAAAACTTCCTTGACATGGCAACTCTGATCTGGACAGGTCCTGATGGACAGAAAGCTCGCTTGAACATTTACAAGAAGTTCCGCGAGCATTGTATCAAGGTGAGTCAATTCTAATATTGTTAAAATATTGTTCTCATTTTGTTATTAGCATACAAAGAATTACAAAGAATTGCTTTGTAAAATTATCTACCAAAGATGTCTTACTAGGTAGTGCTTTCATATACATTTTAGCATATGTGATTAACTTTATGTAGCCTACCATCTATATATATATGTGGTCTATCTTAAGTAATACTACTGTTATAGCTATTTCTTCAGAAGTACTAAACAGATTATTTTGTTCCTATGGGTCCCTAGTTTTCTTGTAATATTTTCAGACTGACTGGATTTCATACAAAATGGCCAATATGCAGCCACATTTAAATAAGACAGTAAATTAGTTTGTTAGTCTCTAATTTTTCAGAGGTGTTGTATTATTTTTACTGAATTTCATCTGTATGTTCCACTAAAAATTGTCACCAGGTGGTCATGTTCTGTTCATTTAGGGAATTATATGAAAATTGACTGAAAAACAGACATCTTTGATGGTTGTTGACACTATTTTGCCTACATGCATTCTGTCATATCTGATTTTAGGTCTAAAATCAAAAATGAAAAAGGAAAGATGTCTTGGATTTGGACATGGAGAGTTTATAGATACTATTTAGAGTCCACCATCAACTGATGGATGATCATTTAAAGTGTCCTATGGGCATAGTCCATCAACTGTCTGTTTGCTAATTTCTTGTTATCACTATTTCTTGCAAAATACCCGAGGAATCTTTCTCAAATCTTACATGATAAGGTTCCACTTGGTCCCTAGACTGATCAGAAAAAGAAAATGGCTGACAAACAACCATCTTTGATTTTGACTTTGAAAAATTGTTATCACTATTTCTTCAGCATAATTGGATGAATCTTCTTCAAATTTCATGTAAAGGTCCCTCTTGATCCTAAATAAAGTTGTGTCTTTTTTATTTTGACACCTATCAGAAAAACAAAAAGGTTGAATGGACACCATCATGGATTTTGATAATTAAATTTTATTCATTAAATTTCATTTGTAGATTTCCTTTGATCCCTTGTTGAGCTTGGAAATGATCACAAATCAAAAAAAGAAATGACTCTTTTTCTAAGGAAATGAAATACTATATTTCCTAACTTCTGATTTGATGCAGGCATTAGTTTTTTTTCTGCAAGAAACTTGGATAAAACTTAAACATATGGTACCTTATGATAAGATAACTACTGATACTGAGAAAATCATCAAGTTCTTTATGTCTTTAAATATGCACTTTAATGTGATAAGCCTCGTTTACCTCTTTTTCAGGATGCTAATGATAAAATAGAGGAGATTTTAAAAACAAAACTTAAGGATAAAGATTTCCAACATGAGGATGGGAAAAAGTTTCTCAGATTGTGCATTGACAAGTATCGTGTGGTTGATTACAAGGTAAGTATTACTGTATTATCCTGAAACAAGCCCAGGGAGCAATCCTGACTCAAAGGGCTTATTACAGGCCAGTGAAACAGCATTGTTGGTGATTCTAATAATATGTGAGTATATTACCAAATTGGGCTTAGTGTGATTAATATGGCTGGATTAGGGCATTCGTTTGCAATTTAGTTTTCATCCTCAGAACAGGTGAGGAATTCAGGCCTATAGGGTCTCATGCTACTTTTATACATGCAATTTGTGCTGACCAATGTTTATGTTGTAATCTGACTATCTCTAGTCTGACCAATGTTTATGTTGTAATCTGACTTTGTCTCTAGTCTGACCAATGTTTATGTTGTAATCTGACTTTGTCACTAGTCTGACCAATGTTTATGTTGTAATCTGACTTTGTCACTAGTCTGACCAATGTTTATGTTGTAATCTGACTTTGTCTCTAGTCTGACCAATGTTTATGTTGTAATCTGACTTTGTCTCTAGTCTGACCAATGTTTATGTTGTAATCTGACTATCTCTAGTCTGACCAATGTTTATGTTGTAATCTGACTATCACTAGTCTGACCAATGTTTATGTTGTAATCAGACTTTGTCACTAGTCTGACCAATGTTTATGTTGTAATCTGACTATCACTAGTCTGACCAGTGTTTATGTTGTAATCTGACTTTGTCACTAGTCTGACCAGTGTTTATGTTGTAATCTGACTTTCACTAGTCTGACCAATGTTTATGTTGTAATGACTTTGACTAGTCACCAATGTTTATGTTGTAATCTGACCAATGTTTATGTTGTAATCAGAATGACCAATGTTTATGTTGTAATCAGACTTTGTCACTAGTCTGACCAATGTTTATGTTGTAATCTGACTATCACTAGTCTGACCAATGTTTATGTTGTAATCTGACTATCACTAGTCTGACCAATGTTTATGTTGTAATCTGACTTTGTCACTAGTCTGACCAATGTTTATGTTGTAATCTGACTAGTCTGACCAATGTTTATGTTGTAATCTGACTGACCAATGTTTATGTTGTAATCTGACTATCACTAGTCTGACCAATGTAGTCTGACCAGTGTTTATGTTGTAATCTGACTTTGTCACTAGTCTGACCAATGTTTATGTTGTAATCTGACTTTGTCACTAGTCTGACCAGTGTTTATGTTGTAATCTGACTTTGTCACTAGTCTGACCAATGTTTATGTTGTAATCTGACTTTGTCACTAGTCTGACCAATGTTTATGTTGTAATCTGACTTTGTCACTAGTCTGACCAATGTTTATGTTGTAATCTGACTTTGTCACTAGTCTGACCAATGTTTATGTTGTATTCTGACTATCACTAGTCTGACCAATGTTTATGTTGTAATCTGACTTTGTCACTAGTCTGACCAATGTTTATGTTGTAATCTGACTTTGTCACTAGTCTGACCAATGTTTATGTTGTAATCTGACTTTGTCACTAGTCTGACCAATGTTTATGTTGTAATCTGACTTTGTCACTAGTCTGACCAGTGTTTATGTTGTAATCTGACTTTGTCACTAGTCTGACCAATGTTTATGTTGTAATCAGACTTTGTCACTAGTCTGACCAGTGTTTATGTTGTAATCTGACTTTGTCACTAGTCTGACCAGTGTTTATGTTGTAATCTGACTATCACTAGTCTGACCAGTGTTTATGTTGTAATCTGACTTTGTCACTAGTCTGACCAGTGTTTATGTTGTAATCAGACTTTGTCACTAGTCTGACCAATGTTTATGTTGTAATCTGACTTTGTCACTAGTCTGACCAATGTTTATGTTGTAATCTGACTTTGTCACTAGTCTGACCAATGTTTATGTTGTAATCTGACTATCACTAGTCTGACCAATGTTTATGTTGTAATCTGACTATCACTAGTCTGACCAATGTTTATGTTGTAATCTGACTATCTAGTCTGACCAATGTTTATGTTGTAATCTGTCTAGTCTGACCAATGTTTATGTTGTAATCTGACTATCACTAGTCTGACCAATGTTTATGTTGTAATCTGACTTTGTCACTAGTCTGACCAATGTTTATGTTGTAATCTGACTATCACTAGTCTGACCAATGTTTATGTTGTAATCTGACTATCACTAGTCTGACCAATGTTTATGTTGTAATCTGACTATCACTAGTCTGACCAATGTTTATGTTGTAATCTGACTTTGTCACTAGTCTGACCAATGTTTATGTTGTAATCTGACTTTGTCACTAGTCTGACCAATGTTTATGTTGTAATCTGACTTTGACTAGTCTGACCAATGTTTATGTTGTAATCTGTCACTAGTCTGACCAATGTTTATGTTGTAATCTGACTACTAGTCTGACCAATGTTTATGTTGTAATCTGACTATCACTAGTCTGACCAATGTTTATGTTGTAATCTGACTTTGTCACTAGTCTGACCAATGTTTATGTTGTAATCTGACTATCACTAGTCTGACCAATGTTTATGTTGTAATCTGACTTTGTCACTAGTCTGACCAATGTTTATGTTGTCACTAGTCTGATCTGACTATCACTAGTCTGACCAATGTTTATGTTGTAATCTGACTTTGTCACTAGTCTGACCAATGTTTATGTTGTAATCTGACTAGTCTGACCAATGTTTATGTTGTAACTGACTATCACTAGTCTGACCAATGTTTATGTTGTAATCTGACTTTGTCACTAGTCTGACCAATGTTTATGTTGTAATCAGACTTTGTCACTAGTCTGACCAATGTTTATGTTGTAATCTGACTATCTCTAGTCTGACCAATGTTTATGTTGTAATCTGACTATCACTAGTCTGACCAATGTTTATGTTGTAATCTGACTTTGTCACTAGTCTGACCAATGTTTATGTTGTAATCTGACTTTGTCACTAGTCTGACCAATGTTTATGTTGTAATCTGACTTTGTCACTAGTCTGACCAGTGTTTATGTTGTAATCTGACTTTGTCACTAGTCTGACCAATGTTTATGTTGTAATCTGACTTTGTCACTAGTCTGACCAATGTTTATGTTGTAATCTGATCACTAGTCTGACCAATGTTTATGTTGTAATCTGACTTTGTCACTAGTCTGACCAATGTTTATGTTGTAATCTGACTTTGTCACTAGTCTGACCAATGTTTATGTTGTAATCTGACTTTGTCACTAGTCTGACCAATGTTTATGTTGTAATCTGACTTTGTCACTAGTCTGACCAATGTTTATGTTGTAATCTGACTATGTTGTCACTAGTCTGACCAATGTTTATGTTGTAATCTGACTTTGTCACTAGTCTGACCATGTTTATGTTTAGTCTGACCAATGTTTATGTTGTAATCTGACTTTGTCACTAGTCTGACCAATGTTTATGTTGTAATCTGACTTTGTCACTAGTCTGACCAATGTTTATGTTGTAATCTAGTCTGACCAATGTTTATGTTGTAATCTGACTATCTCTAGTCTGACCAATGTTTATGTTGTAATCTGACTTTGTCACTAGTCTGACCAATGTTTATGTTGTAATCTGACTTTGTCACTAGTCTGACCAATGTTTATGTTGTAATCTGACTTTGTCACTAGTCTGACCAGTGTTTATGTTGTAATCTGACTTTGTCACTAGTCTGACCAATGTTTATGTTGTAATCTGACTTTGTCACTAGTCTGACCAATGTTTATGTTGTAATCTGACTATCACTTGTCACTAGTCTGACCAATGTTTATGTTGTAATCTGACATTGTCACTAGTCTGACCAATGTTTATGTTGTAATCTGACTATCACTAGTCTGACCAATGTTTATGTTGTAATCTGACTTTGTCACTAGTCTGACCAATGTTTATGTTGTAATCTGACTTTGTCACTAGTCTGACCAATGTTTATGTTGTAATCTGACTATCTCTAGTCTGACCAATGTTTATGTTGTAATCAGACTTTGTCACTAGTCTGACCAATGTTTATGTTGTAATCTGACTTTGTCACTAGTCTGACCAATGTTTATGTTGTAATCTGACTTTGTCACTAGTCTGACCAATGTTTATGTTGTAATCTGACTTTGTCACTAGTCTGACCAATGTTTATGTTGTAATGACTGACTAGTCTGACCTAGTCTGACCTGAATGTTTATGTTGTAATCTGACTATCTCTAGTCTGACCAGTGTTTATGTTGTATCTGACATTGTCTCTAGTCTGACCAATGTTTATGTTGTAATCTGACTATCACTAGTCTGACCAATGTTTATGTTGTAATCTGACTTTGTCACTAGTCTGACCAGTGTTTATGTTGTAATCTGACTTTGTCACTAGTCTGACCAATGTTTATGTTGTAATCTGACTTTGTCACTAGTCTGACCAATGTTTATGTTGTAATCTGACTTTGTCACTAGTCTGACCAATGTTTATGTTGTAATCAGACTTTGTCACTAGTCTGACCAATGTTTATGTTGTAATCTGACTTTGTCACTAGTCTGACCAATGTTTATGTTGTAATCTGACTATCACTAGTCTGACCAATGTTTATGTTGTAATCTGACTTTGTCACTAGTCTGACCAGTGTTTATGTTGTAATCTGACTATCACTAGTCTGACCAATGTTTATGTTGTAATCTGACTTTGTCACTAGTCTGACCAATGTTTATGTTGTAATCTGACTTTGTCACTAGTCTGACCAATGTTTATGTTGTAATCTGACTTTGTCACTAGTCTGACCAGTGTTTATGTTGTAATCTGACTTTGTCACTAGTCTGACCAATGTTTATGTTGTAATCTGACTATCACTAGTCTGACCAATGTTTATGTTGTAATCAGACTTTGTCACTAGTCTGACCAATGTTTATGTTGTAATCAGACTTTGTCACTAGTCTGACCAATGTTTATGTTGTAATCTGACTATCACTAGTCTGACCAGTGTTTATGTTGTAATCTGACTTTGTCACTAGTCTGACCAATGTTTATGTTGTAATCTGACTTTGTCACTAGTCTGACCAATGTTTATGTTGTAATCAGA